AAACATTTGTCCAACAGATCGACAAAGCTTGTCAGGAGGCGCAATTCTTCATCAGTCATGTGTGAAGTCTTCGATAGCAGGCGTGTTTTAAGATCACGTACAGGTTTTGTTATGACAATAACCTTAATTACCTCCTAAAAACAATGACATAATGATTAAGATACTGTGAGATTGGAGATTGATAAATGACATTCTAAAGAACATGACGACAAACCTTATTGCTTATCCGATCCGTCTCATGATATAGGAAATTAAAATCATCATCAAAATGTTGTTTTGTGAATTGCCCTTTGCGAAGGGTTTTGTTGGAAAACTTGCCTTTAAGTTCCATCATAAGTTTCAACATTTGATTGTTACTTCTACCTGGAAAGAGAATTTTTCCCGTGTAAAGTTCATAAAGGGTACATCCTACGGACCACATGTCCAATGCAAAATCGTAAGGCAGCCCGATGACTGTAATTATAAACAATTGGGATTATTGGTTTTTCTGTAATATCTGGTTGGTGAAGAAAAAAAATACACTTACTAATCTCGGGAGCTCGATAAAATCTACTGACTAAATAGGGAGTAATTTCATTCTCTGATGCATCGGAAGCGGATCCAAGATCACACATCTTCAAAGTGTTCTTGGATTCGCTTACCTAAAAAAAAATAATATGAAAAATGATGAAAAATAAATAGGTGTGCGTGTACATAATAAATAACATTACAATTTGCGAAAATAATAATCACATCAAATTCAAAGTGAGTACTAACCAATATATTGTCGGGTTTGATATCAGCATGTAATGCATTGCATTTTGTCAAGAGTGATAATGACAAGAAGAGTTGCTGAGCATAGATACGAACAGCTTTTATATTTATGCCAACATCCTTACCAAATCTTTTCAATACTTCTCTCAAATTCATACTATACAATAAAGTTGCATTTGTCAATCGATCGAACAAGAATGAAAGAAATTCTTTGGTTACCAATTATTCCTTACCTTAATGATTCAAATACCAAACACAGATGACCCTTATGTTCAAAATGTCTATACAGCCGAATCACATGCTTCTTGTTTTCAGGATCAGCTGCCATTAGTCTTTTGAGTATATTTAATTCTTTCATACCGGCCCGATACCTGGGGCAGAAACCATGTTAGAAGTTGAACAACTTGAAGACTTCAAAAATTAATAAACCAAATGCTCACATCGTATCGTTATTTCGTATGATCTTTATGGCCACATCTTCTTCAGTCTTGGTGTCTCTTGCTTTGACAACAGAACTAAAGACTCCTTTACCAAGGTGACTATACACGTGATAACGATTATCAAGTATCTCGCCCAGCAGAACTCCTAGAAAGGGGTTAAAATAAAAAATGGGATAAATTATTGGGGTAAGAATACCAAAAAACTAAAAAGAAGTCAGGATTTGTGATACATACGATAGTACCCATCGGCATCATCATAGTTATCCACGAGACCCGTGGCATGTTCATGTACAACAATAGGAACGGATTTTACATCCTGTAACAAAAAGCTTCGTTTAGGGCAATGATAAAACAAGAGAAAATCCAAATATCAAAACACCGAAACTCACGGGTATCGACTTCGTGGATTTTTTGTTCTCTGGTGAAGTAACATTAACGAATGTATCATCATCTGCAAACATGTCAAATTCATCATTTACTTTAAACTTGTTAGGTTGATAATTTTCATTGCGATCATTCGTAGTTTCCTTATAATCAGCAGCAAACATATCGGAATCATTTTCATCTTGTTGAAC